ACTGCTGTGCAACCACACTCTCAACAACCTTCGCCACAAAGCGGAGGTTGGAGACTGGGCGATAGTTAGCCAATACATCTGGGTTCAAGGAAGGCTTCTTAAGAAGGGGCCTCACCACCGCCTCTTTAAGGGCCGTGGGAAAGGCACCCTCCCCCAAAGAAGCGTTGATAATTCCCTGAAGCCAGGCTCGTGTACCCTCTTCTCTTCTCTTCTGAATTCTGTTCTATTCTATTCTGAATTCTATTCCATTCTATTCCATTCTATTCTATTCTATTCTATTCTATTCTGAATTCTATTCTATTCTATTCGATTCCATATTCTATTCCATATTCTATTCCATATTCTCTTCTCTTCTCTTCTCTTCTCTTCTCTTCTCTTCTCTTCTCTTCTCTTCTCTTCTATTCTATTCTATTCTATTCTGAATTCTGTTCTATTCTATTCTATTCTATTCTACAACGTTAACGAGACTTCAACTCCCAGAATTCCTCAGCCAGCCAGCCAGCCTTCTTTCTTGTACGGGCGGGCGATCTGCAAAAGGCGCCCGACGTACCGCAGAGCACCGCTAGCGGCAGCAGAGAGCAGGTTTCTGGTCTCCTTTGGGCGCCTCATTAGGTTGTCTCGCGAGACCTCTCGCGAGACCCGCGGGAGGACAAGAAACGCAAGCGCCTGGACGGGCCGGGGGGGGGGGCGGGGGCACGGCTTTGCCTAGACCGGAAGAGAGCCTGCCAGAAGTCGGGCACGGGGCCGGAAGGCGGAAGGGCCAATCTGGAGAGCCTGGCGGAGAGTCACGCGGGGGCGTGGCGAGTCGCTGAACACGGGTGGGAATTAAAGACGTGGGGATAGTCGTTGCAAAGTATAAAGGTTGGGTCTGACGGCGGTGCTGGAGGCTGTTATTTGCTAGCAAGACAGGCGGAAGTTCAACAGGTGCAGAGCCTCCAAATCCTTGGTTGGGTCTGCGGCAGCTGTCCCTGTTGAGTGTTTGCCTGCTGCGTCCCGGATTCTGCAGAGGTAAGGCGAAAGTTGGGCAGGGAGGATCGCCCTGTGGGATTCCTGCCTAATTTGAGACTGGGGGGTGGGGGGGAAAAGTTCTTGCTTAAACTTCTGCCAGGGCTTAAAAAGCACAGCTGGTCCTGTTGAATTTCTGCCTGCTGAAAGAGAGGGGAGTCCTTAGCAAAGCTGCTTACGGCCAGCTTTCTCCTGGCGAATGTCTGCCTGCTTTGCTCCAAAAAAAAAAAAAAAAAGGAGAGATGGGCTGTCTTGAATTTCTGCCCAACAATCAAGAATTTGGCTGGAAAAAAAACAGGATTTCAGGATTGGCAGGACAGGAAGGATTGGGGTGGGGGTGGGGGGGGCGGAGCAGCCATGGGTAAAACGGGGTCAATTTTAGGGGGTGGCCCCAGTCACATTTTGCAGGTTTAAGTGGAAAAAGGGGCAAATTCTTCTTGCAGAGGCAGGAATTCATCAGGGGAAGATGCCTCTCTCCCTTCTGGAAGTTTGGCTCTATTTCGAAATTCCCTGGCCTGGATTCACACAAGACATTAAGCTGGACTAATCTGAGTTAATTTCCCGCTTAAGCGCCCTGGTGGCGCAGTGGTTAGAATGCAGCACTGCAGGCTAATTTTGCTGACTGCCGACTGCCAGCAGTTCGAGTCTCACCGGCTTGAGGTTGACTCAGCCTTCCGTCCTTCCAGGGTCTGTAAAATGAGGACCCGGATTGTTGGGGGGCAATAAGCTGACTCTGTAAACCGCTTAGAGAGGGCTGTAAAGCACTAAGAAATGGTATATAAGTGCTATTCCTTCCTTCCTTCCTTGCCATGGTGGCACAGTGGTTAATATGCAGCATTGCAGGCTGACTTTGCCCACTGCCAGGAGTTCGATCCTGATCAGCTCAAGGTTGACTCAGCCTTCCGTTCTTCTGAGGTTGCATAGATTGTTGTTGGGGGCAAATAGGTTGACTCTGTAAACCGCTTAGAGAGGGCTGTAAAGCACTATATAAGTCTTAAGTGCTATTGCTATTGCTTGCTTCCGTCCTTTCCTTCTTTCTCTCCCTCCCTTTTCTCCTTCCTTCCTTCCTTCCTTGCCATGGCGGTACAATGATTAAAATGCAGCATTGCAGGCTGACTCTGCCTACAGACAGGAGTTCAATCCTGACCTGCTCAAGGTTGACTCAGCCTTCCATCCTTCCGTGGTGGGTAAAATGACTGTGTAAATCGCTTAGAGAGGGCTGTAAAGCACTGGGAAGCGGAATATAAGTCTAATATAAGGAAGGAAAGGAAGGAAGGAAGGAAGGAAGGAAGGAAGGAAGGAAGGAAGGAAGGAAGGAAAAGCATAGAATAGAAGAATAGAATAGAATACAGTTAGAATTAGAATTAGAATAGGTTGGAAACTGATCAAAGAGAGAAGCAACCTGGAACTAAGGAGAAACTTCCTGACAGTGAGGACAATCAACCAATGGAACAGCTTGCCACCAGAAATCATGTGTGCTCCATCACTGGAGATTTTTAAGAAGAGACTGGACATCCACCTGTCAGACGATATAGGTTCTCCTGCTCGAGCAGGGGCTGGACTAGAAGACCTCCAAGGTCCCTTTCAGTTTCTATTCTATTCCTATTCTATTCTATTCTAGAATAGAATAGAATAGAATAGAATAGAATAGAATAGAATAGAATAGAATAGAAACCTTTATTTAGAATAGAATAGAATTCAGAATGAATAGAATATAGAATAGAACAGAACCTTGGAGGTCATCTAGTCCAACCCCCTGCTCAGGCAGGAGTCCCATTTCAGACAAGAGACTGTCCAGTCTCTTCTTAAAAATCTCCAATGATGGAGTGCCCACAATTTCTGGAGGCAAGCTGTTCCACTGGTTAATTGTCCTCATTGTCAGGAAGTTTCTCCTTAATTCCAGGTTGCTTCTCTCTTTGGTCAGTTTCCAACCATTATTTCTTGTCCTGCCCTCTGGTGCTTTGGAGAATAATTTGACCCCCTCTTCTTTGTGGCAGCCCCTCAGATACTGGAAGACTGCTATCCTGTCTCCCCTATTTCTTCTTTTCTTTAGACTAGCCAAACCCAAGTCCCGCAGCCGTTCTTCCTATGTTTTAGTCTCCAGGCCTTGGATCATCTTAGTTGCTCTTCTCTGAACTTTTTCCAAACTCTCAACATCTTTTCTGTAGTATGGTGACCAAAATTGGTTGCAGTATTCCAGGTGTGGAATATCTTTTCCAGAATCTTCCCAGGTATTAAGGTCAGGCTGATAGGTCTGTAATTTCCTGGATCCATTGAATCACTTGACTATGAACCTCAAATACTGGAATACTGTTATCATGTCTCCCCTATTTCTTCTAAGTGCTATTGCTCCCTCCCTTCCTTCCTGTAGTGGGACAATGGTTAGGATGCTGTATTGCAGGCTAACTCACTACCCACTGCCAGGAGTTTAATGTAACTTCCCCATCACGAGACTCTCACTGATGAGTCACACCTGATCCATCACAAGACCCTCACTTGGCACACCCACACCTGAAGCCCTTATAAGCAGAAGAACGCCGACAACGACACCCCCTAAACTCCACTGAAGATGTTACCCAGCCTGGTAACGAAACATTTGGAAACCACCAACCCACAACCTCGGAGGCCAAACCTCGACCCCAGCTACAGATATTCACCACTATTGCAAAAAAAACCCTGTTTTTAAAAAAGAGGCGGCTTTGAATTTCCACTCGAGCTGCTTGAGGTAAGGGTTGGGCTGTCAAACGGGGTCACCTGCCAGGATATTGAGTGGCTAAAAAGCCTCTTAAGAAATCCAATCCGATGTGGGTGTTGGCCGGGAGCACAAATGGGGTTGTGATCAAGGAGACCACAAATTCTTGGCAGAGCCTTGATGTTCTCACCTGCCGGGAAAGGACAATGGCATTCCAATTTTGTGAGCTAAATTCTGCTGGCCTCTAAAACAGCACCTGTTCAAATTTAACCTGTTAAGTCCCAGGAGGAGTAGGAGAGCAGAGCGGATTAACTGCCTGAGCAGGGGGTTGGACTAGATGACCTCCAAGGTCCCTTCCAACTTTTATTATTATTATTATGAATCATCGCACAGTCAGCCAGATGTTCAGACTGGATTTGGCATTTTGTCTTCTTCTTCCTCTTCTTCCTCCTCCTCCTCTTCTTCTTCTTCTTCTTCTTCTTCTTATTATTATTATTATTATTATTATTATTATTATTATCATTATCATTATCATCATTATCATTGATCATCGCACAGTCAGCCAGATGTTCTGACTGGATTTGGCATTTTTGTCTACCTATAGACCTGGGATAGGTAGATGTGGATGTTTGATGGTATTACAGATTTCGTTGCAGGATGGAAGCAGTTTCTAGTAAGGCCGCCTTTTGCAATTGACTAATGGCAAATTTGTCAATGTCAATGGTGTTCAAGTGGTGCTCCAGTTGTTTTGGGATTGCACCCAAGGTGCCTATGACTATTGGTACTACCCTTGCTTGCTTTTGCCACAGTCTTTCTATTTCTATTTGAAGGTCTTTGCATTTTGTTGTCTTCTCCAGTTCTTTCTCGTCTATTCTGCCGTCTCCAGGCACTGCCACGTCCACTATCCAGACTTTTTTGTCTTTCTTATCGACAATTGTTAAGTCCGGGGTGTTATGTTGCAGGTGCTTGTCTGTTTGAATTCTGAAGTCCCAGAGCAGTTTAATTTTATCATTTTCTATGACTTTCTCTATTTTATGATCCCACCAGTTTTTGCTTACAGGCAAATGATATTTCTTG